GTGTGGTGGGGGGGGAGGGGGGCTGCAATTTACGTCACAGCATTCCAATCATTTATTACTTGATCATCAGTGACGTGGAGCGCATATTTTTCAAAAGTGTTGACACCATCTTGCCCACATGTTGGATTTTGGGGGGGGGGGGGGGGGGGCTGCAATTTACGTCACAGCATTCCAATCATTTATTACTTGATCATCAGTGACGTGGAGCGCATATTTTTCAAAAGTGTTGACACCATCTTGCCCACATGTTGGATTTTGTACCGGCAATTTATTTACTATTATATACGGTATGTACTTCAATAGCTAATTACTTTTTAATGTAAAATCGCAAAGCTTTGAGCTTTACTCCGCTACTGCTTCATATATTTACGACATGGAATAACATTATTTTGTTAATAATAAAGATCGCTGAAAAAAGTTATGCATCGCAAAAGTTGACTCTGTAAATTTTAAAAATGAGTTTTCACCAGTTCTCTCCCTTGCAAAAAAAAAAAAAATGGGTTATCGGAAATGGTTCCTTTCTTTAACAATTTAATTTAAAGATATAAAAAGATTTTAATTAATGAGCTCATCCTTATAAATCCGTGGCACAGTTAATGAATGGAAATCAGTTTCCAAAATTATTAGAAATTAATATTAATACTACTGACTGTTAATTGTTAGTTATATTAACAATAATTGTAGTATAGTAAATTTTTAACAGTAAATACATTAAGTAAGTAAATACTATGACTATAATAACTATAAACTATAATAATAATATAATTAATTATATTATATAAATTAAATGACTTATTATAAATATATGCATTGTATTACCAGACAATAAAATATATTCTACTATACATATATTATAGATCTTTTGTGATTTAATGTGTGAATTTATTTTATTTATGAATTTATGTAGTTTCAGACATTTTGAATTATGTTATTCATATGCATGATATTCATATTATTAATTTTATTTTTTCCTGTTATTTGGCAGTTTGAAAGTTTTTAAAAATGTCTACCAAAGTCGAAACACCTGATTTTAATACTTTTGTGGAAAGCTTTGCTCAAGACGCTGACACAAAGGTCTATAGGAATGGATACGCCGTCTTTCTTTACACCAAGGCGGGTACCAACGCCAACAAGGACAAGAAGGAAGGCATGAAATCTGCTGCATCTGTACTTGATAAGTGCTTCATGCAAGAGGATAGTAGCTATGTATCAAATGAGAAAACAATTTATACCAATCTGACACATTTGGAAAGCAGGCTTGTAAGTTTGAAAAAGAACCTAAAGCTAAACTGGAATAATAATAATATTCAGAATTGGTTATTGCAGCCACTCAAAGCCCCAGTTTCTAAAAAGAAGCAGCCATTGCCTTCCACTAGCTCTATTGATGTTACAGCTTCAGGGAAAAATGATGAGTGTTTTCATCGACAACTGGATGGAACACAAGATTGTTTTCTTCCACAGATAGCTCAGCTATCTCAGCAGCAGATAGAGGCTCCACTACCGTTAAAGAAGTTGCGGACTGACTGTAAGCGGTGCAGCGTAATTAGGAAAAGGTTTGTCACCAGGTGCAATTTCTTGGAGGAAAAGGTGAGAAGAGTTAAATTAAATGCCAAGTCTCTCAGTAGGTCCCCTGAAATGAAAGTGTGGACTCAGAGCCTAAAGAGAAAGACGATAAGGATCGAGACACTGAAACGAGAGAAGACAACGCTTAAGACTAAGGTTCGACACTTGGAACAACAGCTGGGAACATCAGCAACGAAGATGGAAAAGGCCAGTATACTGAGCAGAAGGAACCGCATCCTGCAGAAGAAGGTCACCAAACTGCAGGAGGAGGTGTATCAGCTGAAGGCTACACTAAAGGCAATGACGGCGTCAATGATGGAGGAAAGGATCTTTTCAAGTTCCCTACAGAACATAAAATAACTAATTTTAATTTTATTTGATATTGTTATTGTTTGACAATGGAATAAACCTGCAATTTTTTTTGTTTCTCATGTAAAAATTTACTAAACAATTTTTTTTTTTTACTATTTTTTTTTTTTACTTTCCCTGCATAAATATTTTTTTTAATAAATATCATATATATAAAAGTGAAAGTTTGTTTGTGGCTAGTTGGCTGGATTTGTTCCAAATATGTGTTTACATGGATTGATTGATCTTGACCAAACTTGGCACTTATATCCATCATTATCCGAAAGGAACTCTTAAGGGGTTATGAACTTTTTATTACATTACGTTTGGGGCCGGGGGCCCGGAATTTATTTTCTTCCTTATATAAGCTATATAAATATCAATAGGCTTAATACTCCTACATGAATGGATGAATCTTGACCAAACTTATTACTATTACACATACACATGATCATCCATATTCAAATACCGAAGGGTACTGAATTCATAATATCCATTTCTCTGGGGCCTGGCGGGCCCCAGTTCATTTTTCCTTATATGAATATCAATAGGGTTAGACAACGGTATAGGTTCTATGTGAATTTATGGATCTAAGCCTAGCTTTGTTCATTAGGCTTCTTAGTCCGTATATAAATATCGGTGGATTTAAAACTAATAATATCCAATCTAGAATTTTCCAGAAAGTTCGATAGTTTTAAAAAGCTATATCTATGGTATTTTCAAGTAGATTTTAATGGGACAAATTTTTAAATTTTAACTCTATTATTTATCCGTCTGATATTTATGATTAACTAAAAGAATTATAATTATGGTATTTGTTGGAGATTTTATCGTTTTCCAAAAATAATTAGAAAAGTAATTTTACACATGTTTCAAGCAGGTTATTTAATTTAATCTAGAATATTCCAGAAAGTTCTAAATAAATTGTTCCAACGGGGAATATATAGTGGGATCTAAGGGATAATGAAATTTTAGTTAGTTCTATTCATTTCTATACTGTCCCCAAGTTTACTGTTCTCTCAGTAACACTTATTTTTTTTTATACGTGTTAACTGAAAAAAAGTTTCAACCAAATTTCCGTTCCATCAAATTACCGTAGACGAAATTTCTTTCGATCAAATTTCCAGCAACTGCTAAATCTGTGTACTCTTCATTTGTCCACTATCAAGGCATTGTGATTAGTTTTTTTTTTACAACGTGCGTGTGTAGTGTGTAAGTGGAGACGTGAGTCGCGACGTGACGGTACAAGATAGGAAAGTAAATGTTTTCATGTTATTGACAAAAAGTGATTGGTATGGTCAAATAAAGATAGAATGTTGACTTACATTAACAATTTGTTTGTAACATGAAATATATGGAATTATTAACACACTGCATTCGAATCAAGGGTAAACTTTTCACATTCACCTCATAATTGATTTACGAGCTATTTTGTCCCAGGCTGAATGTCCCTTTTTTGTCTGTACCATACCTAGCCAAACATTTACATGACTGAATGTCCCAGTTTGTCTGTACCTTACCTAGCCAAGCATGTACATAACTGAATGTCCCTGTTTTTCTGTACCATGCTTAGCCAAACATTTACATGACTGAATGTCCCAGTTTTTCTGTACCATACTTTGCCAAACCTTTACATGAAAATTTAAACATTTTTTTAAAAAGTTGTACACATCAAATCAAACTGATTTAATAAATAAATTTTTGTTAATGATTTATTTTCCCTTACATAATTTTGATAGAAAGAAATGGGGGACACTGAATAAAATAAACCAAAATATGAAAGGCATATAAAACTATCGGAAACAAAGACATCAGTTTGTTATTGTGGAGTCTGAGCGGAGGTTTGCGTCATCTGGTTACTTTTGTTACCATTTGCGCTCAAAATTTAGCGATCAAACATTAGACATGTCATTTTTACAATCTCATTATTTGAATTTTACCAAAGATTAAAACTACACAAATTATTTTAAGATTTGATAATGTCTGAAGTTAGACATTTGTGTTATTTTTTAAAAATCGAAATGCTATTTCTTTTTTATTTTTTTTATTTCATTAATAAATCATCACCGCCAATCTCGACACAAAATTCTCTAAATATTGACAATATTGAAAATACCGGGATTCCAGTATTCGTAAACTTCAATATAGAAAATATCGGTTTTGGTAAAAGGGACCGGTTTTGCGACCTCTGGTATGCACCCAACAACTTTTCTTCAACAATAAAGAAAAAGAACCTGTTGTCACAGGTGGAAATGTAGCTTACATTTGCAGTCAAACTAATTCCAAACACTTTATATAGCTCACAAAAAGAATTAAGGTTCAGACATGATATACATCCATAGTGTTATCAGTATTTTATATCAAAGAACAATAATCAATTTTCCTAATGCTTCTAGTGGTTATAGAAAAAAATTTGGGGGCTGAGAAATGGATAGTGTGGACATGTAATGGGTTGGTCGGTAGGAGGGGTGAAAGGTTTAAGGGAGGAAGCTTCAGTGATGTGCTGACATGATCCTAATTTTTAGAGAAAACAGGTATCTTTCAGTTTAGTGATTGCTGTTAGCTCTTTCTACCAACTGGCCACTTGCTATTCCCACCTCCCAATGTCCAGGTCATTCAATGCTCATTATCTTTAGCATCAGCCAAGGCTATATCTATAATTCTATACAAACAAAATCATAAGTATACACTTTTAAGATTCAGCCAAGTGTGTAAGGAAACATTAGATGCAACATATGTCCAAAAGCTTCAGACACCAATCCCGCTCATGTAAAAAAAATATTATAGAATCTAATACTAATGCTAACAAGTAACCAAGAAACAAGAGAAGTGTAACATTGAACAACTGCTTGTCAAGAATCAAACATGTAATTTGAACTTCTCTTACCGGTACAAGATTTTATAGAAGAAAATCAGAGAATTAATATAAACAATATGCTCCTTGCACAAGCTCACCAAAATTCATGATGCCCCTGTAGCCAGGTAACAACATGACATTTTCCAGGGAAGTGAATACTCAACTGTTGCAGCAAATTAACATTTTATGAATGTTAACAACAGGTTATCAAATTAATGTTTATTAAATCTACGTCTCAATGTGAATTACAATTCTTTGCAAATTAATTTAACAGTTACAATAGTCTGTTTTCACAAAATGATAGACAGAGATGCAAATCGAAATTGAAGGGAAGATGGATTTCGAACCAGCACCAGATTGCATCTTCTGTGTTTTTGGGATTTCAGCAACTCCAGCAATGCCATCACAGAACAAAATCCTTGGCCCGAACCCTGGCCTTGTCCCAAATCAAAGTCTCCATTGCTAACAAACCCAATAATAGGACGGGAAGTGTGATTCAGGTGGTTATATTTTAAATCTTGTTCTTGTATTTTCAAACTTCCTTGGCTTAACTGTTGAGCCCCTTTCACTTCTGTGGTAGTAGCTTTTGATATTTCTTTAACTACTGATCTTCCATCCTCACCTCTGCCCTTTGACTCATTCTCAGTGATGCCTGTAACCATTGGACCACCTGCTCCACTAGTTGTAACTTTGGAACCCTCCACTTTTGTATTTGTTTCATCTGTATCTACTTGTTTTCCCGTTCCAGAGGTCATTTCCTGTCTTTTCTTGTCACGTTTTTTCTTCTTTGTCTTTTGTCTCTTTAACTTTAACCTTTCCTTTTTCTCCTCTTTCCTCTTGGCCTTAAAGGGATCCTTGTGCTTACTCTCCAGTGGTCCTCCAAATGTTTTATTCTGACTCAGCTCATTAAGATCACTGGATGATGGAATAGAAATATGGCCATAAGAAGCAGGCACTCCCCGATGTAACAAAGTTAAATGAACTGGTACAATTGCTGATAAGCAAAAATTTAGCTGATCTTCACCAAAAACTGACAACAAAACTGCTTCAAAGGCCTTTTCAGAATTGGCCTCACTTCCTTTACAAATGTGGCCTTTTTTCTTGTTGGTTTGAAGAAATCTTTGTGTGTCTGTTAAGGCAAGGTTTAAAAGCCTCAAAATATTTTTTTCCCTCAATACAAAGAAATGATTGACATCTTGCGTCAATGACTCTGTCTCCTTTTCCTTGGGCACTGAATTGTGCAATGAAGCTGCCCAGTCTCTGATCAGTTTATCATACTCAAAACAAAATGGCGACGGGTTGCCAAATTTAGTGTAGTTGGGTCTCTTGGCTGGTGGTCTGCGATTATATTTGAACCTAAGCTGCTCAGTTTGTAATTTAAGCTCTTGTTCTCCTGAGGCTGAATCTGGGTAATCCACCGGTGCATGCAGCATTCCTGATTGAAGGGAAATACTCAATGCCTCTCTGAGTCCTCCCACTCTGGCCCCACGATACACCAGGGCCACCCAAAATGCCATGGCCCAGCCTGAAGGAATGACCAAGTCCCACCCGCTGCCAAAGTCGCTACGGACTGAAGGATAAGACAAGGGTGATGAAGGTGTATTGTTAGGACTGGGTCCGGCCCGTTGAATCAATAGAATTGGAATAGCGGATTCCTTCTCACCCAAATCAAGTGGAGATCCTGAAATTAGAAATTATATTTAAATATATAGACAGGCATCAAGAATATGAAGAAAAAACGATTTTAAAGATAGTGTTAATGTTACCAGTACATAAAAAAAACCATATTAAACTATTTAAGAAAAGGGAAATAATTGAAATAAATGTTTTGAGTTTCTTTTCTTTAACAAAAAAGTATTTTGTAGCAAAACAGCATAAACAATTTGTTAACAACTTTTATGAATCACATTTAAGGGTATCAAATGTTCAGGTTATATAAATTGAAGATTAAGATGGTTAAAAATTATTTTATCTTATAATAAATCTATAAACTGTGGCATCAATTAGCGACAATGTTAGATTTTTAATCAACTAAATGAATAAAAAATTCATAGCTTAGACTTAAATTATTTCAATTGTAAAATTAAAAGCTACATCCAATCTATAATTTAGAAAAAATTGTTAATACCTGGTACAATGTGTCTGCTTTTAAGGTCATTGAGCTTCTGCTCTGATATCTTTGATGTCTTTACATTGAGTCGAATTTCCGAGTCCCAAATGGGACTACTTGCAACTTGTTCAGTGAATACATCACTTGGCAGACAACCCTCACCAGGCTCTGAAGATATTTTTACACAATGGCTATTAGATTATTTTAGATTTCTTTCTCTTTTTATTTTTAAGTGTTCATATTTACTGGCATCTGCAAATTTTATTTATTTTTAAATTAATATTTATTTACTGTTCATTAAAATTGATATAATACAATTTTTATCTGAAATTATCAGGTAATAGAAAAGTAGAACAGCTGTGCAGTTAACCACTTGAAAAGTTTTGGAAATAAATGTACAATAAAATATCCCTAAATGTGAATAATAAAGCACATCTTAAATAAGGTGACCATTTGTACTGCTTTAAACAGGAATCTTTGTCCTGCCTTTACTGACACCAGTCCAGTTTTAAGAACACAAAATTTTTTGTAAAACTGTTGTTTTTTAATTTATCAGAAGATTGAGTACATAAAAAAATGACACTACTAAAAGAAATATAATTAATCAAAATTGGCATCACAATAACATTTTTGTTTTCAAAAGAACACCATGCCGACAGAAGAGATTTCCGTATGATCAAAGATATTTCTTTACATTTGGACACCCATGTGGTATTACAATTTTAAATGTCTTTATTTAAAGTTTGAACATTGGAAATATCATTATTTTGATTTTGAACAAATGGTCACCTTAAATCTTAACTTTAAAAATGTTTCAATAAATACTTGAAAATCATTGATAATATATGCAAAACTTCCAAGGTTCATTGAATAGTAAGAGATTTTTAGAAAACAAACCTGATTAATTAAAAATTTAAATGAATTTATTGTAGGTAGGAAGCTAATAATGTATTGAAAATGATAGGCAACAATACTGAGACAGGATTTGAACCTGTGACCCCTGACATAAATGCCAGTGCTCTTCCAACTGAGCTACCCAGTTAAGATAAGTGCCTTTCGTTTTCATTGCACCGAGTGGATAATACCATTACTCCTGTTAACTTATGACAAATATTAAGTGCACAATCATAAATGAATTTAACAGGTTTTTTTTTTTACAACTAAAGAAATAGTTAACTCATTCCAAAAGAATGAGTAGTAATACCTCATCCTAATTAAAGCTTGTTAACAAAAGTTTCATTTTTTTAAAACAAACACATTGTCCTTCAATGTGTGATACCGGTACTAATGTGCACTTAATGAAGTATTGATGAGTGCAGCCAAACTCACCAAAATTACTGACAGAGACCTTACTTCTCTTGGGTGGCAACAAAAGCCTGGGATCACCTACTGTTAGACCAAAAACACAGTCAGGAGGGGCCTCTCCTGCAGAATGACACTTCATCAATTTATCCCATAAGCTTGTTTGCTGCAGCAGAGCATGGAGGTGGTCTTCACAAGAATAATAATTTCTCCACCAGGCTGGAGGAACAGGATCTCCTTCAGCATTATTTTTGTCTTCATCACCACTGAAAGTTTCATTTTCCATATCAGTCTTTTCAATGGGAAGTTTCTGTGATCCAGCTCCATTCAAGAAACTGGTTAACTTGGAGGGCTTTAGAGTTTCAGCTAAAACTAAATTTGCTGCTGGCCCGTGAAGTCTTAATTTCACAAGGCTGTCCTTTAGAGATGTTATGACAACATCAGGATTTTTTGTCACATGACCATTCATGGTTTTTACAACAGAATCATCTTGGCAAAGTAAACTATTTGGATTAAAACATTTATTGACTTCATTTAAAATTTGGCTATAATAGGCAACGTGGCTACAGATCCATATGGTAGATGGACAGGAAGCATCAATACTTGAACTACTTGCTTTCCATAAGTAAGTCACTGGCCCAATGGCACCATATGGATAGGAATCATAGGTATAGATGGTAAGTGTACCCTGTCTTGTTCCAAGGGATGTCATTCTTGCAGCAAATGTTAACCCTGAAAATAAATGGTTACCGTATCAAGTTAAATTGTATGCAAGCACACACTGCTCTAATGTTGTTCAAAGCCACACTGCTCTAATGTTGTTCAAAGCTATTTTAAAAATTGAGCTAATCTTCTCACACAATAATATTATCATCTTCTCCCCCAAAAGACCCTTTTTAAAAAAAGTCATACAATGGATCTCCTAATTCTAGGAAAACTACTAGAATGTATACGAACCCGTTTTTTCACATGTTAAATGAGAAAGACCAGCAATGATCTGCTCTCGTGGACCTGAAATTTCTAAGTACTGCTCAAATGAAACATCCTGGAAATGAACCATAAAATACGAAATTAGAAAAATTAAAAGGTTGATAATTAAATTTATTTATTTGACCAATTATAAAATTACAGATTGTTTCTCCGAAAAGATAACAGCAACAAAAAAATCACTGAAATTGCACATTAACAATAAGAAGCTTTGGGACGGCAATAAGTAAATGAAGAAAAAACTTAGAGAATATTTAAGCTTCTTGGGACGGCTGGGCAGATCGGCCCAGGTTGGAATGGCAAAAAAGACGAATGGATGATCCATCGGCCCAGTAATTCAAGTCTTGAGATTTGGCTGACTGGTATTCGTGCAAGCTAATAAGATAGCTTCTTATAATTCCTGCACATCCTGGGATTTTAATGGCAGCCTCCATTGATTTCCTTTTCACATAAGACTGCATTAGCAATTTAGTATGTATTAATTTCTGTGCTATATTAAACTAATCACTTAATGTTAGTGAAATCATTTTTTAATGATATTGAGATACAAGTTATGGCAAAACTTTTCAACACAATATACACACATGATATAAATTTGATTGAATAAACAAGCCTTGCCTGGATTAAACAGTTATTTGTGACAGCTCTATAACATGCCCGATTACTCTTGTCATTTGGATGTAGAGCAAGCCTATAGCCCCATTTTTCAACCATCTTGAACCGCTTAGCATGCCAAATATGTGTCTCCAGCCATCCTATCCTACGCTTGCGTTGCTCATATTCTGATAACAGGTTACTGGGTCGACGTCTGTGTCGGCGACTGGGACATTTTCCTGGAGCTTTTGTCTTTTCAATCTTCAAAATATATTTTACAGTGCTGTTCATTAGATTAATTTTATTCAGCCTTGATTTCTATTTCAAACTAATTCTCTTAGTTGTAATTCTACACAAGTCAATCATAACATGTTTATAAAGACAACAATATAAAACACAACAATATACAAAATCTCTTGTCAATTTATTAGAACCATGATTTTTTTGTACATCAAATGTACGGTATTAATTCTGAACATTTTAGAAAAAGTAATTTAATTTAAGCATTGATTTTTTTTGTTAAATTATAGTTAACTGATATTTTAAAAAACATCACTTTAACCTTACTATATGGTGTCAACTGCAGAAATTAAATTAAAAAGTAGCATTTTGTAATGAATTAATGAAATCAGTACCTCAGCTCTAACTACAGTGTGCAGCCTTTTAGGAACTCTCTTTATATTGTGGCTCATGGCCCGTCTCCGCATATGACGAGGAAGTTTTTGGAAGGCCATGTGATTACCTCCAACATCTTTCACAACTGATGCTAAAGCTTCCAATTCTACAGCTCGAGATCCAGCGAATGCTTCAATATTTATGTCTAAAAAATACATTATCAAACATCAGATTTACTCACAGATGATAGATTCAGGTATTTTTTTAATTTAATTCTTTTTATTCACCTTCAGTGGCTTAAGTTTAAATTTAATTAATCTGTTAGTAGGTACTTTGATAAAGTAAAGGAGACTGGTTCTAAAGTTGTATCGGTAACAGCACAGGAAGATTCATATTTTTAATTTGCATGATAGGCTATTTTTATTGTTTCATTGCTTAAGCTCTTTTTCTATCTAATTACACTCGTAATTGACATAATGCATACTTATTGTTTAGATGGCATATTGACCTACACTCCCATATATTCTTCATTAATTTTCCACTCTGCTCTATGTTTTGCTTCTTGGCGGTATTTGCCTGTATGTAAAACCTAACAAGAACAGCTTCTGTATTACTGAAATTAAATCTGAATTTAAAACTTTCAAAGGATAGTATTTTTACCAAATATTGTGCTAGGATGTTTTGAAGAACCTACGGACCATCCATAAATGAAAACACACATTCATGCACCATTTTTAACCTTCCCTTCCCCCTCTATCATCAGAAATTATTAAAAAATAAATAAAATTAGATACCCTCGTCACAAATACATAATGGTTGCATGGGAACCATCCATATAATTCATATATAGGCCTATATTATGATATATATTAGTACCTTAACATAAAAAGTCAAGGTAAATGACCTCCACTAGATAGGGACCCCCCCCCCCACACACACACACACACAAAGTTAAATTATAGTATATAGTCAATAAAGTCTAGTGATATAAATATAGCCAAGCCTATGGCTGATTTTGGGTAAGCGGTGAAGCCGGCTATGTTTTCCATGATATTTAGGTCACAGAGGTTCTCACAGGTAAATTTCCACCCTATAGTTATAGTGCCGCATTCAAAAGATTTCTATTTTTATGTTTGTGTTCACTTAATACTTAATGAACTTAATGCAAGTTTTTGTTTTCTTATTTTCTATTTTTGAAAGTGTGGGGATGGGCTCTAGGAAGGGGACTCCCCTCTCCAGAAGATTATTTTTGTTTTGTATTTAAAGTGGGGGGAGGGATCTCATAGGTACATTAGTATGAAACCGTCATTTAAACTTTCAACTATTGCAAACAACTAATAAATTATTTAAAGCTTTCCCTAACCAATGGTTTAATAGTCTTTGCACACAGCAATCTCTTTTGAATGAAACTGTGACTCTTGAGATTTTACACACGGAAAATTATGATAATTTATAATATTGACTCTACCAGGTTTAAACGTCTAAATTATTTCTGAAAATCAAATTATTAAATATTTCTAAAGCTATTGCTATTGCGCAGATAACCATTTCCAATACAAATTAAGTTATAGTCTAAAGTCAACCTTTTGTTACAGACGTTTTAGAATACAGGTACTTCAATTTTTAAGCACACATCTTTATTTTTCATCAGTGTTGGGTCTTGGGGTATCAGTGTGTTTCTGCTTCTTTTTTCATTTCTTTTGAGACTTGTCAGTTGAATTTTAATAAAAATTAATAAAAAATTTCATTTTGATATTCTTCATATTAACGGTATCTATCGCCAAATTTTTATTTAGTTTATGACACTGAGTAACTGAGTAATGCTCAGTGAAGAACAGGTAAGATCAAACACATCATTCAGGTCCAATAATTGGTCTATTCACTTTAACTCTTCAGTGTTAGGATTCCCCAAAATAACATCACTGGGCTTCCCGCTTAGGCTTAGAATGAGTTGGGTGAGACAACTCTTAGCAGAACCCATGCCCATACTACTTCTAACCCAAAATTTACCAGGCCTACTAAATGATCAAAAAGACATAGTTTGGTAATCTAACACTTGAGCGTTGGCCAAGAAAAAATCCAGTTGTTCCGGTTGGAAGGGCTATTTAAACAACTATTCTTACATTGGAGTCTGTTAATATTTTTGCTTCCGTATAGAGGCTATAAAGTTATATAGCACAATACTAATACATTTAAATAATTATTACTGCCAAGCTACCGATATGCCAGGAAGAAAAAGAGACAACAATTATTTTTTTTGATTCAGATAATGCTGATGTCCACACACAGAATGTGGAAAACGTGAATGCTCAGAAAGCGTAAACTGAAAAGACAGTTTGGCACAAGAAGCGCCAGTGATCTTTTCCCTTCATATTTACGTGGATTCATGTACTAGATACTTCGATGAAACAAGGGAGACTACTACTTTTTGTGTATCGGAAATAGAAATCGGCGCCGAAAAATCCTGGTTTTAATTTTCCGATGTGTGTGTCTATTTATTATTAAATTAGTACTTTTGATATATTTGAGTTCCGTTTTTGGCCCTATAATTAGGAAGACATCTTGGCCTACATTTTAATCAATTTCTTTTTCATTTACAATCAGTCAGCTTTGAGAAAATCCTTGGTAAATATAAGGCAACTTTCATCATTAAAATTAAGTCGAAGTAAAAGATTTGTCACTACCAAATTTTTTTTGCATCTGGGGAATGTATTGATCTACATGTATACCAATTTTCAGAGTGATATGTGTCTTACGAAAGACGCCATGTTTCTACGCATTCGCAGCAAGTCATGCAGTTCGCTCAACCTAATTTCGCCATGGGTTGGGCCACGCCCCCTTTTTAATGGTGGAAGTTGCCTATACTTAGGAAATATTAATTTATTACCACTATTTACATCAAAATATTTGATAACTTGTGTTTCAGAATGCATTTTGAAGACATTTAAACTGTAATGTTTTAATTTGAGCTTTAACAATCAGGTAGAGTCCATATTATAAATGATTAGAATTTACGGTGTGCAACACGTTGTCATTGGCAACCATTCACAGCCACTTACATAATGGCTGTATCGTAGTACTACCTCAGAGTTTCATAAGAGTTTGCCGTGTGCAAAAACTACTATACCCTTGGTCAGGGAAAGCTTTAATTAATCATTCATGTGCCAAAGTTGAAAGTTTAAACTAAGTCGACCCTAAACAGTATTTTAGTTATAAGGCGATGCGTTGCCTTATATAAAGTATATAGTCATTGCGCATGACGCGATCAGCGGAATGAGGTCACAAGATGTGGAGGTTTCGTCCATAGTAAAAAATACCAAACGAACTCCCACTTTATTGACTTTAAAAATTCATAGCTCAAAAAGTACTTAAGCTAAAAAGTTGATTCTGGTTTCATTTTTTTTATTTGAAATTTGCTCTAACTAACAGTGTTATTTTAAAAAATTATTTCAATTTTTTTTTAATTTTGTATTCAAGTGCCTACATGTCCCACAACCGTTTTCATGGAAATTATATTTTTTTTAATGTTCATTGTCAACTTGGGGGGAAACTATGCATAATTCCATTTTCACACATTATCTTCTATTTCAAATTTTTTTTTATAGTTTTTCTATTTTAAAAACATTGTCTATTATTATGGTAGATACTTCGATAAAACAAGGGAGACTACTACTTTTTTTGTATCGGAAATGGGCGTCGGCGCCGAAAAATCCGAGTTTTTAATTTTCCGATGTGTGTGTCTATTTTAAACTATTTATTATTAAATTAGTTATTTGGACATATATTTGAGTTCCGTTTCCGGCCTTATAATTTGGAAGACATCTTGGCCTACATTTCCATCCAACTATTTTGCTTTTTTCAATTGAACTTCATTTTGAAAATCTTTGGTATATATTAGGCATCTTCAAATACAAAATTTTTTGTGAAATAAAAGGAACAGGTCTTTCATATTAAATCGTGTAAGGCATTAGATATTGATATATATCTGTGCCAATTCTCATTGATGTAGGTCGTGTCCCACGTTCGCTACGCTTCTCCCAGTGACCCATATCACCATAAGGGGGCTCAGCCTTATTTCGACATGGCGTGGGCCACGCCCCCTTTTTAATGGCGGAAGTTGCCGATACTTAAGAAATATTTAATTATTACCACTATATACATCAAAATATTTGATAACTTGTGTTTCAGAATGCATTTTGAAGACATTTAAACTGGAATGTTTTAATTTTAAGTTGCCGATACTTAAGAAATATTTAATTATTACCACTATATACATCAAAATATTTGATAACTTGTGTTTCAGAATGCATTTTGAAGACATTTAAACTGGAATGTTTTAATTTGAGCTTTAAAAACTCTGTAGAGTCCATATTATAAATGATCAGAAATTTCCGTGTGCAACACGTTGTCATTGGCAACCATTCACAGCCACTTGCATAACGGCTATATCGTAGTACTATCTCAGAGTTTCATTCATAAGTGTTTGCCGTGTGCAAAAACTATTAAACCATTGGTCAGGGAAAGCTTTAATTAATTATTCATGTGCCAAAGTTGAAAGTTTAAAATAAATCGACCCTAAACAGTATTTTAGTGATACGGGAATGCCTTAGCCTTATATAAACTATATAGTCATTGCGCATGACGTGATCGGGGGAATGGGTTCACAGAATGTGGAGATGCAGTCCATGTTAAAAAAGGACAAACCAAGTCGTACTTTAAAAATTCATAACTTTAAAACTACAACAGCTAAAAATATAATTTTGGTGTTATAATTCTGTAAAAATTTAGCTCTATTCAACTATGCCATTGGTTTATTTTTACAAAATGTTTAAATTTTTGACCAAAGTATCTAATTATGGGAATGAATACGTACAACCAATGTCATTAATTTAATTACCTATTACCTATAGTTTTAATTTAAAATGTAATACTCCTTAATTTTAACACTTTTAATTTTGTCTAAGTCAGTCTAAGTCACCCAACTTGAACTTAGTAGATTGTACTTTATTACCGGTACTGTTGTCAGTGTTTTAGTATTTAGTTTTAAGTTTTAGAATTGGCTCACCGTTTATTATCATTTCGTTACTTTCTTCCTTGCCATTGTCTTGTTTAGTAATACATTTCTTTTTTGGTGGAACGTCTCCATCATCCTTACTGTCTCTTTTTCTTTTATTCGATTGGCGTTTCACTTTTTGGGACATTTCGG